CCTATTCTAGTTATGTGGCTAATAAAACACCGCTATGCTGTGCTTCACTCTCATCATTTTATAATCCGACAATCACATCATGCCCCAATTGCAGCTGTGGATGCCGAGCAACAGACCAGAATACTACTAAATGCACTAGGTTTGTTATTACTAACAACATCCTTAAATTATGAGAGCAAGCAGCTGAAGGCATGTTTTTGTTTTGTGATTATCTTTTTATCACCAGACTATAGTTTGCAATTTAATTCACCACTTGTGTCTGTATTTGTGTTCAACAGAGAAAGTTCTCCTTTATCAATTGAAAATGCTCTTTATAATCGACCTGATCCTGACATTGTGCAATGCTTTGATCATATGTGCCCAATTCGAGTTCACTGGCATGTTAAGAACAACTAAATGGATCACTGGAGGGTGAAATTGACAATCTCCAACTATAATTATGGAAGAAACTACTCAGACTGGAATATGTTGGTTCAGCATCCAGGTTTCAGTCAATCTATTCGAACCTATACCTTCAACAGTACAGTGCTTCCTACTGCGGGCATAAAAGGTATTATAGCCAATGCGACATTTCATGCCCTAAATGGAACTCTTTTATCTGAAAATGTTATAATATCATGTGGCAGTAGTGGAAGTAACTCTAATTAGAAGAATATTCCTAACTAAAAAGCAAGATATGTATACCTCTTAACCCTTGATACATGCACTAAATATATGTGTGTGTGTCAAATGATTATCTGGACATGTAATGTGATTGACCTTGTTGTACTGATTAAGATCATATATTGAATATGATCAATGGAAGAGATTTAACTATCCATCAAAAAGTTTGATATACATTAAATGGCTAAAATAACTAATTGGTCTGGATTTAGTAGAGTCAATTTACTACTGAGACATATCAAAAGTTGGATCTTCATTTGACTTAAACATAGTTACTAGTGCTATGTAAAGATTTCTTGAACCACTGGTCATTTAGTTTGAGCAATTTACCTACTTTTATGAAGTATGTTGGGGAGGATCAAGACTGCACTATAAGAAAATTGATATTTTACAACTTTAATTGACGACATTCATAAAAAACAAGCCATCTATATGCTAATTCACACCTTATTTTTCCAGCATTTCATTAAAAGCTAAAAAAATGGTTATATTGACGGCTTGCACTTAATTTTCCTTTCAAGTTTCTTTTTAAGGCCGGCATTTTCTATTATAACGACTTGCATGCTATATCGTTAATATTGGGCCCAAAATTTCTTTAAAGATTGCCACTTTCCCTCAAATATTTGGGCCAAAATTTATTTAAAGATCCACTTCCCTCCTATATGACTTTAAGAAAAAAAAAAAAATCCCTCACTATAAGCCTAGTACACACATTGTTTCTTTTCCCTTTGTAAACCCTAAATTTCATCCAGTTTCAGCAGAGCCCTTAATCTACTCCTTCATCGGAGAAAAATATTAAGACATGAAATTGATGTCTGAAAAAGGTAGTAATGAGACGAGTCTATATCCAGGGAAAGCTTGAACTCAATTCCAATCTTTGATTATTGCTTAGGAGCTGCTCCTATATAAGAAGATGAGAAGGAAATTGGATGTGTTTGATAATGGTTCATCCGGGTTTCTTTATTTTTGTTGATTCAGGTCAATCGGATGTGTTTGATAATGGGTCATCCGGAGATAATTATGAGGATTCAATGTTTGATATTGAAAACCTTAAAAGGTCAGAGCTATCAAAATTTTGTACACTACACATATGTTACTCCTCTATGACCAGTATATAATATTGAAGTTGTACATTTCATATTTGTTGGAATTATATTTTTGTCCAAATTCCACCTTGTTCTTTGACATTTCAAATATTTTTAAAGTGGCATCAAACTTTTTGAAACACCTGTATCCATAGTTAGGTTGCTCTATTCTCCATAGACACGGATGTTTTGCCTACTTTTATATTTATATAAATATATATATATATTCATGGTAACTGTCACACATTTTTTCCACATCCATGATTCCAAGTTGAAGTGGGTGAAAGATTATAATGATATGTGCATATTATATTTTATTAAATGAGATATTTTTCACAAATTATGTTCAAATTTTGATGGACGACTTATTATAATATAGAATACAGTCCAAACAATCACAACCTTAGCTTCGAAATAGGGGCAGCTAAATGTTTCAACTTATAGAAAAAATAGGATTTGTTGAAAATTCTATGTTATGATTGACTAACTAAAAACTTCATCACCTACGCGGAATTATTTACTTTATTTATTTATTCTTTCATCGGAAGTTTTAGAAGATGCATACACCCAACCTTGACCTTCATGGACTAGAAGTCTTGAACTTTCAATTTTCTCTTCGAAGTAAAATAGCTGTTATTAGACGATTACTAGTGTTAATTATTGTTTACTGCGAAGAATAGAAAAGAATGTTGCAAGTTGTGAGTTGGTTTTTGAGAACACGAGAAAATAGATTATGGGATACATATCTTTTATTATAATTACCAGCCAAAAGTGAAACCTGATTAAACACAAGTCCTTTAGGCTTTGGAGCTTGAACTCCGGGAGGGATTTGACCTAGAGGAAGTTGTTGGATTATATTGGGGTCTAGATAACCAAGATTCACATTGTGGTATTCCATTAGAGTGATGTGATGATCAAAATTGGAATGAGAGGAATGGTAAGAAACTTTCTACCTCACGTACACAACAACAACCAACAACTTCACAACAATCAACAACAAATAACAATCAACCACAATCTCCGCATACGATGTTCCCATACTCATATGTTATATCAATGCAATAAAGTAATGGCCACGACAAAGACCCATGCTTTCAACATTAAAGTAATAGCCACGATAAGAGCCTATGCTCGGCAAAAGTTGGAAATCTAATTTTTACACATATAATATTATTTTTCAACATAGGCCTTACAAGTTATAGCAATGTGACTTTAATATATCATTGATCAAGATCACTTTGGCAGGTTAATTTTACCTGAGTTCACATAGAGATAATTGAAAAATGAACTTCATTAGCTAGTAGAATTTAGAACATACCTGCCAGAGACGAAGATTGAGAACCAAAACTATGCTCCTAATCTTACTTCAAAAGTAATGATTTTGTCCTGCTCCTAATAAGCTGGTTTAAATAGATCCTGTGAGGAAAAAAAATAAAAATGTAATGCCAACATATAAAAAAAAATAAAAGAAAATAAAATCAGATCATATGTTAATTACTACTTTTCAAAAAAAAAAGAAAAAAAAGAAGGTTAATGAATGACCAATTGACCTCTAGAACTTTCACATATTTGGTAGGCCATATAACCATGCTTTCACAATAAGTTAAGATTATGAGAAATTACATTCTGGTAACAAGTAAATACAGGAGGAGGAATGCATATAGATGCAACACCCGAACTGAATAGATAAAAATATGAAATTAAAACAACTTACCAGCATAAAATCTTCAAGTTAGATTATTAAGGGCGTTCACAGCATGTTCTTCCTCTAAAAACTGAAAATAAACATTACATATTTTTCATTAAATCAGAAGTATATTATACAACAAATCAAACAAGAAGCACAAGAAATTTTTGAACAACACCAAGCAAGCTGGGAGTGGGTACATAAAGGGGAGGTTTCAGACTAAGCCAAAGAAATTGGTCGATAAATGGGTGGTTAAACAGAAAGGCAATTTGGTATTAATAATATTGAGAGGCTACCAAAATTGTATGGAATATTGGGGTGTGGTGGTAAATGAGAATCAAACAACACTACTCCAACTCTTTTAAAACACCCTCCAAAAAACCTTACAACTCAGGAGAATGTCTTTGCTATCTATTAATTGTTTGTTTTATGTTTTCAACTTAAATTCTATCAAACACAACCAACAGTATCTTCCTTCTACTGAGATCCTTTCCTTCCAAACATGTGCACTTATGATGTGTTCACAAAACAGAATTTACCGTTTCCAAATTTCCTTTCCAATTATGCATTGCCCATAGCAATCATCCACGCATTTAGCTAGCTGTAGTGACAATGCAAGATTCAGAATCTATCCATGGTTAGAATATAGAGCTCGGAAATTCAGAAAGTAGTTATACAAGTATTTGTAGTGTTTTGATGGATGACGATGAGGGAAAGCTGCATTAATGCATTTGAACCTACTTTTCATCAATATCAAATTTATAGACTTAGATGATTTTTGTGATTAATTCAAGAATATATATATATATATATATATAAAACTGGAAATAATAGAATTATAATACTTGAGGGAGAGACCACAAGGTAATGATAGGGATGGACCAGTACAGTACAGTGTTACACAACCAAATTAGCTTAGTAATGAATTAAAAGTGTTAGGTATATAAATTTAATTTCGTGACTTTTGAATGATGACTAAGTAGTGTCAGTAGCATCAAGTTAAGGATGTGTTGATTAAGAGTGGGCAATGATTAAGCAATTAATAAGTAGTCCCCAATTCTACTAGTAAAGTGGTCCTTAAAGCTTCTCTTCTAAGCTTGGATCCATCTATAACTCACTTAGCTTTAAAACACTCAAATGTAGTTCACCGACATTAATATCAATTTCATCAATACGTACACACAATTATTATTATGATCCATTCTACAGCTTGCCAACCGGCCTATATATATATATATTCATGTATACATATATCATTCAGGCTCTTCAATAATTCTCAGCCAATGTATTTTTAAATATATAGTCGCACGCTTAGAACCTAGCTTATACCAAATTTGGTACCACCTATAATATTATATGAGGTACAAAACTAGTTGGAATTTTAATTAGAGCAACATTATTGAGGCTGTAAAATATTTTTTGCAATGATATATAGAAGCATTCATATTTGATTGAGACTTCACATTGTTTATCCTTATTGAGGGAGGGATCACAATTTTTTTTGATACATATATACACACACACACACACACACACACACACACACACACACACACACACACACACACATATATATTAGCAATCTATACATATATATATATCTGATTAGAGGGAATATTGTTACACAGTCAACTAAAGTGTGATAGGATTGCAATGTGTTGTCATATATAATACGACTCCTGTAACATCTTACTAGTATGGAGAATTAATTTGGTCCATTGCTTGGTGACCACTATATATCAGAATTGAGTTTGACAGATTGTAGAACACAAGTAGTTTGAATATATATATGTGTGTGTGTGTGGGCGCGCATGTGTTGTGTGTGTCAGCATGAGATTTTTTTTATTTACTACTGATTTTAAATCAGATTTACGGTGGCATTCATTTGTTACACACTCAAAACAATCTGTAAGAAGTAGGTTTAGTGAAATTAATACAAAATTATATATATTCTTTAGATATATACATTATGTTCACATGCAGCTTTAGCCTTTCCATATTATTGATGTGCTTTCTAGGCTAGCTCTCTGTTAAAAAAAAAATTATTAGGTATAGTTAACTGAACACACCCACACACACAGACAATTATCATTGAATAGTTTTTTGTTTGGTCATTTAGGAATGTCAACAAAGATGTCATATATGCATTAGTAGTTGGGAGGATCATATACCATTCTTTAGCGTTTAATTAATATTTTCGTATATAATTCCAATTCCAATTAAGTGGTAGCTACTGAGAAGTATAATATTAATAAAATTAAACATCACAAACTAGTGGATATTATGAAACAAGAAAGTAAAGCATCCAAACCAAAGGCTTGGCACTGAAAATGAAACATCTTTGATAATAAATGTTCCAAAAATAGTAATTTATTAATTAACTATAATATTTGAAAAAATCAGGTAATTAGTAGTATTGTGCAAGCTAGTTTTATTTTTTAAATCGTGGGTTATTTGTATGTCATCATAGGTTCTGTTCAATTTTGATATATACACATTTTGTATTCATGCCTCTGGACCAAACACTAATATAAAATAAAACAAAGAAAGAAAAATAAAAAAGATTACCTATTTATTGGCCAATCATACAGTATAAGAATTGGGGATAATGGGGACATAATCATATCGTTTTCTTCATTCTTGAAGATCAATTTTGGATTATTTGGGGCCAGGATGATCAATGTTTTGTTTTCCAATATCTTGAAATGCAGGTGTTTTAACAAACATGAGGGGCACAAGACTAACAACTTTATTTATATATATTTATGAAAAAGGAAATTCAAGAGAATATTTTAATTAAGCTTAAGTTTGTAATTGGTTTGTTAATTTTCTAATATTGTGATTATGTGCATTTGCTGCAGGGTCACTGTATTGAGCCCTCAATGGGTCATGAGAATGTTTATACACTATCGGCCTATCACATATGGTCATTTTCACTTTTCTCCCGACAATCTAAATTAAATAATTATTTATTTACTAATCATCTTTTCATTGTATTCCTTCCTTCCTTCCTTCGTTCATATCAAACAATTAATTGGGCATTAAAATTAAAAAAATTAAACATTTGACTTAGGAGCATCAACATATATAGTTAGATGATAATTCTCTACTTTTTGGTAAGCAATTATTCCTAAATGGAGAGAAAGTGCTTAAAATTCTTCCCAGAAAAAAGTAAAGTTAATAATGACAACATTTAATCAACTCTTATTTATGCTATTGTTTCATTCTTGACTCATATATGTGTGTGTGTGTGTATATATATATATATGTACATATACTTGATGCATTCTTAAGTAATCCTTTGCCAAGCTTGTACTTTCGTATGCAAAAAAATAGTTAGGAATGTTTCTTATTCTTGTAAGCTAGCTAGAGAACTTAGTCAAGTATTTTTTTTTGATAAGTAATAATAAATTAAAAAAGCGTTCAAAAGGGGAATGCGTCCCTAGAACAATAATCGGGGACTAAGGCCCCAAAGAAACCAGAAAAGAAATTAAAGCATCAGAAGAAGAGCAAGAACTCCTCTTCACATAACTAAAAAGAGAGCGAATAATAATAAATTTTAGCGTCACCGTAGATGACTCTTTCCCTTCAAACATTTTACTGTTTCTCTCCTTCCAAATGCTCCACCATACGCAATGTGGGACATTTCTCCAAAAATCGCACACACCTCTACTCACGCGACATCCTCTCCAGGTATAAATCAAATCCTTAGTAGAACGTGGCATTACCCAACACATGCCAAACAATCCAAGAATAAGATTCCAACAATCGTATGCTACAGGGCAATGCATAAGAAGATGATTAACGGATTCCCCATCTTGCTTACATAGGCAACACCAATTAACAATACAATTTCCCCTCTTCCTCAAATTATCAATTGTCAAAATCTGACCCCATACAGCTGTCCACACAAAGAATGCCACCCTAGTAGGTGCCGAGAAGCGCCATATAGTTTTCCACGGGAAGACAAAGCTAACAAAATTAGATAGGCATAAGAACAAAAATCTTACTTCAAAACGACCGTGAGAAGAGGGAATCCATATCAAATTGTCATGCCCCCTACCAATTCCTTCCTGCTGATACAATTGGTCCAAAAAAATACTCACCTCATTCAACTCCCAGTCCTGAAATGATCGCCTAAAGTGCACAATCCATGTAATTCCACTATTATCAAGCCGATAATAGTCAATCACATAAGCATGTTTGTCAAATGCAATACTGTATAATCTGGGAAATGTGCGAGATAATAGTTGATCCCCACACCAAAGATCTTCCCAGAAACGGACGCATCTACCATCACGAACTTTGAATCTAATATGAGGAGAAAAAGCATCCCATCCCTTCCGAATGGATTTCCAAGCCCCAACTCCTCCCGTAATAAAAACCGGGCGTGTAGTCCAACTGCCAACATCTTCCCTATATCGACACGATACTAGCCTTCGCCAAGGACATTGCCTTTCCTTCCCGAACCTCCACAACCATTTGCCCAACAAAGCTTGATTAAAAGGAATCAATCGTCTAATACCAAGACCACCCAACTTCATAGGCTTGCAAACTCGCTCCTATCTGACAAGGTGATACTTAAACTCTTCTCCCCTTCCGCCCCAAAGAAAATCCCTTTGAATTTTTAATCCTTTCAGCAATAGAGCAAGGAATTTGGAACATAGAAAAAAAATATGTGGGAAGACTAAATAAAGTGCTCTTAATAAGAGTTACTTTGCCCCCCTTTGACAAATATTACTTTTTCTATCCTGCTAACCTCTTTGCATAACTGTCGAGCACAGAGTCCCATCTCCCCACTAACCTTGAGGAGACCCCTAAAGGCAAACCCAAATAAGGAATAGGAAAGGAACTAACCCTGCAACCAAGTACTGCAGCCAAAGAAGAGATATCCTGAATATTCCCAACCGAGACAAGCTCACTCTTAGCCATGTTAACCTTTAGCCCAAAAACCGCTTGAAAACATGCCAGAATGCACCTCAAATATCTAAGTTGAGACACATTTACATCATAGAAAACCAAAGTGTCATCTACAAATAGCAAATGAGAAATCTCCACCTGATGGTCAATATCTCTTCCCACTCTAAATCCCTTAATGAGCCCAAGATTCTCTACCCTACGTATAAGTCTGCTAAGGCCCTCCATGACAATAAGAAAGAAGAAAGATGACAATGGATCACCTTGTCTTATTCCCCGAAACACCCAAAAAAAACCAGTAGGAGAACCATTCACAAGAATTGAAAACTTGACAGACGAAAGACATGTCTCAATCCATTTCCTCCATTTACTTCCAAACCCCATTCTTTGTAGCAAATAGAGGAGAAAATTCCAATTAACATGGTTATAAGCTTTCTCAATATCAAGTTTCCATAGAACTCCAGGAACACAACTGCGCAATCTTGAATCCACACATTCGCCTGCAGTAAGAACTGAATCAAGGATTTGCCGACCTCTAACAAAAGCATTCTGGGAGTCTGAGATAATCCCATCCATAACTTCTTTCATCCTTTGAGCAAGCACCTTAGCAATAAGTTTGTAAATACAACCCACCAAACTGATAGGATAAAAATCCTTAATGTTAGAAGCGCTTCCCTTCTTATGGATGAGGGCAATATATGAGGCATTTAGCGACTTCTCAAAGATACCAGAAGTATGAAACTCCTGAAAGGTACCCATCACCTCACCTTTCATAACCGTCCAGCTTTCCATCAAAAAACGTATAGTAAACCCATCAGGCCCTGGAGCTTTATCCCCATTATAACTTGACAAGGCTTTTAGAACTTCTTCTTTAGTGAAAGGAAGCTCTAACCCATCTCTCTCTAACTCAGATAGCCTCAAAAGGGAGTCCATCAAGTTTAGGTCTCTAACCTAAAGGTTCTGTGTAAAGCTTCTAATAAAAAGAAACTATCCCATTAAGTACCTCTTCCTCCCTCCACAGTTCCACACCTTCCACCCGAATGCATCCAATGTGACTACTCCTTCTGTGAGCATTAGCTAATTTGTGAAAAAAATTTGTGTTACGTTCCCCCTCTTTCAACCAAAGAGCCCGAGATTTTTGACGCCACGAAATCTCTTCCATACTAGGAATCTCAGCAAGAGCTGCCTGACAGGAAGTTCTCCTAGAGCAAAGAGACTCCATATCTCCACCCGCCTCCTCAAGAGGATCAATCTCAGAAAATTCAGCAAGGACTTCATTCTTTCTCCATTCAAGATTCCCAAAAGCATCCTTATTCCACTGCTTCAGATTGAATTTGAGAGCTCTTAACTTCTGTGTTAATATGAAGCTGGGTGCTCCTAAAACCATCGCTCTATCCCACCCAGATCGAACTTTCCCTTGGAAATCTTCCGATCTCAACCACATATTCTCAAATCGAAACGGGGTTCTACGAGAACACAAACCCCTACTATCCAAGACTAGAGGAACATAATCTGAAACAACCCTTGCTAAGACTGCCTGAATAACATCCGGGAATTTTTCTTCCCATTCCCCAAAGATCAGAAATCTATCTAGTCTTGAGAGAGTAACTGGATCCCTGCTACTAGACCAAGTAAAGGCTACGCCTTCTATTATTAGATCAATAAGAAGATGCTCATCAATGAAGTCAGAAAACTAATCCATATCTAAAAACCTCCTTCCCCCAGTAAACCTCTCTGACGAGGACCTAATAGAATTGAAGTCCCCACCTAGACACCAAGGGAGAGGCCACATTCTTTGAACATGGCTTAGCTCCTCCCAAAAATAGGTCTATCATTATCAACAAGCAGTCCATATACCCTAGAAAAGATCCATCTGAAATCATCCTCTTCCATTTTAAACTCACAGGAAACAAAAAATCTCCCTATCCACACATCTATTCTAGACAACCATCTGCTATCCCATAACTAAAATTCCACCCGAAGAACTTATAGGATCCAAAGCCTCCCATTCCACAAATCTTGCTCCCCACAAACTTTTAACCACCCCGTCAGAAATGGATGCCAACTTGGTTTCTTGCAAACAAACCACCTTAGCCCCCCATTTCCTTAACGTTACCTTCACCACCCTCCTCTTATTCGGGTCATTAAGACCACGAACATTCCAAGTAATAATTCGTAGCTTCATTAACAACCAGATAAGAGTAACTCCCCTCCCCACTTCTTTAAACTCCTACTTCTGGTCCTCCCCCTTTCCTTCACCACCCCTTTCTTCCCTTAACTTCAGAAATTAGATTCTTGATCTCCTGTGCCCCCTTCCAAGATGATAGAGGCCTAGCATTTACCTCAGCAGTCACAGCAATCTCTCTTCCTTCCACTATATCATGAAGGATAAATAAAGTCTTATCATTATTACCCTCTGATGAGACACCCAACAGCTTGCTAGTGGCTCCTATATTATCAATCACCCAGTCCTTTCCCATATCTGCAGAAGAATCAGGTGCAAAACAGCCAAGGGTTCCACATTGGCACATTCATCCTCCAACCAAGAGGCTAGCTCATTAGAGTAAACCTGTTGGATAGAACTGAGGTCATCGTCGTCTTCAACATCTCCCACATTATCAAACACCGAACCTGTAACTAATAGCTAAATAACTAATAGGTGCATTCTCCTCTGTCCCTGTAGTTGGCAAATAGTTAAGACCTTCCAAATCGACACGCATGAGACTAACAGATTCATTCTCTGCATCCCCTTCAGGAGGCAAGCGAAGGCCTTTTAAGGCTACATGTAAACGGAGTTCTTTAAATAGAGCCGAAGCCTCAGCATTAGATAACTGAAAATGGCGATCCCTCCCTACACAAACCGAAACCCCCTCAGATGAATCCTTAACTGCGCATTCCCCTGGATCATCATTCCGTGAATCAGAATAGAAAGCAGCCCTTCTTTCCGTATTCGATCCAACCTCAGCTTCAGGTATAACTGAGAGCGCACTTCACTTCAAGTATTAACTTTAGTTGTTGACTTAATCAGTGACAATTAATGCAATAATTAGCATATTAAATCTTTATTTGAAATTTCTTATTCAATTTTTTCATTTAAATTTAGAAGATATATTAAGGAGCTACGCAGCCTTTGATCCATTGCTGGACCTTAGATCCATATAATTTGAGTCCCAAAAAGAATATATATATATATATATATATATATATATATATATATATATATATATCCTCCACCAATCTGTCCATGCCCACCACTTCTTCCAACTCTTTCTGGATTTTTTTATAATATATATGCATCACCTACAAACTTGTCATCTACAAGCCTCGAAGAAAATTTGATATATTTATATATATATCTATATATATATATATATATATATATATATATATATATATATATATTACATGAATGCAAATAAAAACTGAAACCCAATCAATAATGAAATAGAAAACAAAAAAACCCAAATCCAGTCATAACCAAAGCAAATTCAGCAAATAAAATCGACAATAAACCAGAGAAAAAAAATATGCATGTGTTAGCCCTAAAAATGTTTAAGAAATAGGGATTGAAGAAAATCCTTAAAATGTTTGAGAAAGAGGGATTGTAGATTACCTGAAAAATGAAGTTAAGTCCGGATCCTCGGTTCTAAAGAGTAAAGAGAGGGTTGAACTCAGTTTGGTCAAGGTAGAAATTGGTTGAGATCGCTCAACTCTCCTTTTCCCGTCGAACCATAAGATAAGGCCTTCACATAGCAGACCTTCTGCTGAATCTGATTTCTTGAAGTGAGACTAGATTATATCGATAATGGAAGAAACAAAAGGATTAAGGCATTTTGAGATACTGGCTAGGTGTTGTCGGCAGAGTAAGCAACAAGGTGGAGTAGCGCTCGTGGGAAAGAAAGAAGGATTCATGGGAAATAAAGAAGGGCCGGGCTTGTGGGAAAGAAAGAAGGCCGGGCTTATGGTCTGTGTGTTGGTGACGTGGAAAAAAGGGCTTTTGGCGGGTTGTTCACTGTTGCTCTTTTGCGAGCGCGGGAGACGAAAAGTGAGGGCGGGATTTTTAATTTTAATTTTTATTTTCATATTCACGGGAAGAAAATACTCCCTTAAAAATATTTTTATCTACGAGTGGCTTTTTCGGGCGGGATTTTTATTTTTTATTTTTATTTTCATATTCACGGGAGGAAAATACTCCCTTTAAAATATATTTATCTACGAGTGGCTTTTTCCCCGTTAAAGTTGAATCAATCTTCCGTAAATATATGTAAACATTAACGGGCTCCTTAAACTCCCATGAAAACGGTTTTTAACGAGGATTCTATTAACATTCTGTGAAAACATGACCCTTTATGTGTAAAAAGGGGCTTCTATGAGAGAAAATAAAAGATCTCATAAATGCTACCTCATAAAAGCCCACTTTTCTTGTAGTGATACTATGATATTATTGTTAGAAAAGCTACATTTTAATGATCAAAATTGGTTAAAAATGTGTTATTAAGTATCTGAGAAGCATCAGAAACATGGTCAAAGTATCTAAAAGTATCAAAGACATATTAGAAATGAAAATATATATTTTAAAATTATAGATACATTTAGAAAGTATCGAATACATATTCATGAGTATTCGAGGAGTATTGGTATCTAATACAGACACGATACGGGTACGCCACTCTTGTAGAAATACTCATGCTTTCTGTATGAGAGTAATAAATGTGCTGCAAAAGGAATGGATAAGTATATTGGTAGAGACATTGCAAGATATAGAATAGTTATAGGATGGCTAAAGGCTCAATTTGTACAGCAAGCTTGTATATAAAAATATGTATGATGTATTGAACAACAAAGATATTTTTTGAAATGAAGAATTGAGAGAAATATTATAATTATAACTCTTTTGTGTTTGAAATTTTTGCTTTGTCACTGTCTCAAAACATTACCTTTCAGCTTCCACTTAATCAGTTTCTCTTCTCTAACTTACCAATCATATTATTTCTTATGTGCTATTTCTTCTTCTCTCTCTCTCTCTTTATTTATTTATTTATTTATTAATGTGTGTACTTGTTATCTAATCAGATTTGGATATCCTAATATTAAAAGTAAAAAAATTAGATTTGGGCTCAAATTCACATAAATATACTCTGTTTTATCACCTAATTGCACCCGGCAAAAAAATTTTCATTACAAACAAACGAGTATAACAATGGGAGAAATTCAAGTGTTGCTTATGACAATTTTGCAGGTATAATTCCATCGGAGATAGGTAATCTTCCACGTCTCGAAATGCTGAGCATTCATAGTGGCTCTCTAGCAGGAACTATTCCATCTTCTATCTTCAACATTTCTTCTTTGAAAATTATTGATTTCATAAACAATAGCCTGTTTGGAAACCTCCCGGTAAACATCCATTGTGACTTCCCTGTTCTTGAAGCGCTGTATCTTTCTTCCTATTTGCTCACCGGTGAAATTCCGTCCAACTTATGGGAATGTAGAGGGCTCCAAGAATTAGCATTGTCAGACAATAAATTCACAGGCAATATATCGAAGAATATCGAAAACATTACTTTCCTCAAAGCTCTATATCTGGATGGTAACGGCCTAAAAGGTAACCCTTCCTCATTCATACTACATTTATATTTTTTGTCTTAGTAAATGTATTTTGATTGAGTAATGCAAGTGTTCATATTGATTGCAACAGGAACATTACCTAATGAGATTGGTAACCTTAATCTCGAAGGATTTAGTATACATGAGAACAACCTAAGTGGCCTCATTCCGTCGAATATCTTCAATGTGACAACAATGAAAATCTTTGATTTGAACGACAACCAATTTTCAGGACATCTTCCTTCAACCATGGGATTTTGGCTTCCTAATCTTGAAGAGCTTTCTAATGACCCGGTCTTTTTCCTCCTTTTCATTTTCAGTGATTTTCTTTTTTTTTTCCGTCTTTTTCCTATTTTGTCCTTTACCTATTTCGTCTTTTTCCAGTTTATCAATTTTCCTTGCATAACCTCACTTGTTGTGCTCGGATTTGATTCTGGTTTTGCATGCATCCATGAGACTTGGTTTCCATGATATTTGTATTTTCACTTTTGTAGAAAAGCATGCTAGTTGCTTTCATTTTCGTAAAAGGGCATGGATGCATACTTTATTATAATTATTCTTGATTCTGGGGTTTTAGTGTAATTATGTAAAATAATTATTTTTCGTTTTAGGGACCATTTTGCAATTTATTTTGGAAGAAATTTTTAAAAATGACCTTTTTGCAATTTTTGAAAAGTGTGACAAGTGTCACACTCTCATGGTGCCACTTGTTAGCAATTGGGTGGGGAGACTTGGAAGCATAACCTCTTAATATTTGGAGGGTGGAGATTCACCCAAATTTTGGCCTAGGATTGGTGCACATGTTGGCTTTGATTGTTGACAAGTGTAGGCTTAAGATTAAGCCAAGGAAGGAGCATTGGATTAGTGACAAGTGTAGACTCATGGTTTAGTCTTGCATTGTGTGTGTGTGAGAGGTAGTGTAAGAGCACATAGTGAGTGGAGGATTACTAGACCCTCCACTCACCATTTTCACCTTCATCCTCTTCATTTTCACTTGTTCTTCAAAACCCTAACAAAGACACCATTGGAGAAAAGCTTGGTTAATAGCTTTCTTCTTCATTTTGGCTTCCTTACATTCACCTTAGACCATAAACCTTGGGAGTGAAAAATTTCCTCTCATTCTCTTCTTCAATAACCCTAAACTTGTTTTACATTTTGAGTTTGGTTGCTTGGATTATAGAGATTCAATTCTCTATTGAGTTAGGGGTGGTAATATGTTTATATTTTAAGTGTTCTATAATCATTGGGGTTTAATATGTATTGTATACATACTTTTAATATGATAGTCTTGCATATTATAGGAAACCCTCACATCTTAACTTAGGGTTTATTGATTTAAGCATGTATGATATGTATAAACCATGTGTAGAAGGATTATATACTTTAGTAGTATGCTAAATTCTTGTATTTTCACATGCAGTGATGATATAGAACTCTTGTAGAATTATTAATGTTATATGCACTTTCCAATGACTTGAATTGCTCTATTTGTTGAGATGATAATTCTATATTCTTGTGGATTACTAATTGTAGTTACCTTAGGAGCTTATTACTAATAACTTTCTTCTTCATTTTGGCTTCCTTCCATTCACCTTAGACCATAAACCTTGGGAGAGAAAAGTTTCCTCTCATTCTCCTCTTCAATAACCCTAAACTTGTTTTACATTTTGAGTTTGGTTACTTGGATTATAGAGATTCAATTGTTTATTGAGGTAGGGGTGGTACTATGTTTATATTTTAAGTATTTTATAATCCCTGGGGTTTAATATATATATTGTATACATGCTTTTAATACGATAGTCTTGCATATTATAGGAAACGCTCACATCTTGACTTAGGGTTTATTGATTTAAGCATGTATGATATGTATAAACCATGTGTAGAAGGATTATATACTTTAGTAGTATGCTAAATTCTTGTATTTTCACATACAGTGATGATATAGAACTCTTATAGAATTATTAATGTTATATGCAATTTCCATTGACTTAAATTGCTATATTTGTTGAGATGATAATTCTACATTCTTGTGGATTACTAATTGTAGTTACCTTAGGAGCTTATTACTATAATGTTGAGATTTAGAATATAAAGCTTATTGTTGAGACATGATTTAAAATTGACAAGTTGGTGGTATTGTATTGTGCATAATATCATAACGAGGACTTGTCATTTCGTATGCCATTTTAGACTTGGAACCCTAAGACATGGTTTGTGTGGTTTTAAAATACTTGTGCATAGAAGGTGGTTTATATGCCTTAATTATAGTGTATGAGATTTGAACTTGATTATGATTTTGGATTTTCTTGGGACATTGTTACAATGACATGGCTAAAGTTTTGCTTGAGTGTGGGAGGTATGAGTCCTCCCCAATTGAGATAGTGCGCATTAGGGTGGTCTTCCCAGCGGGTTAATGCCCGGAATAACCATTTTGATCTTGGTTTAGTTCGAGACGTGATATCCAAGTCTTCCACTAATTGATTTCGCATTAAATTTCAAGTTGACAACTAATGTTTAATTGTAACTTGTAATGATATTGAAACTTTAGGGTATACGCATATGCTTCTTCCTACGAGTAACTTGATTACTCACCCTAGTGGTTTGGGTTGTTTTTCAGGTAAAAAGACTATGTTCTTGGATACTCATCATCCTTAGAGGCTTATGAGCTATTTGAAGCATTTTTGTGTATTGACATGCAAGTGTTTAGCATGCCTTTCTTTTGATGTCACATTTTGTATACCATGGGTGTATGGTACTTTAGAAGCTTATGTAACTTTAATATCCTTAGAGGCTTATGATCAAACTTCGGTCGACTGATGGCAAATGGAATCATTAACGCACAGTAATTCATCATTCCAGTAGCCAATTCTACTGTTCAGGGCCTATTTCGGTCGACCGAAACTTTATTTCGGTCTACCAAAACAACCAGCACTTAAATTCAAGACCTAAATAACTTTCATATTCCAGTTTCTTCAGTTCAGTTTTAGCACTGCTGTTCCGACTTTGAATGGCCATATCTCCTTCATTTCTTATCCAAATGGGGTGATTTTTGAGCCTAAATTCATGGATTTTGAGTCATATTTCCAATGGTACCAATGCCATTCTCAGATTCCAATCAAAGTGGGAGTTATTCATGTTTTAGTGAGGTAGTGTTAGTTTTCGCTTAAACTGGAAAAGGGCATTTTGCGGGATTCTTGGCCAATATTCTTAGAACCTCTTAGAATGTTATGAAATGATTAGATTAGGTTGTATTCACCTTGTTTGACTTTTTTAGAGTCAATTTTCTCCTTTTAAATTGTGAATTGACCATTTTGCCCTTTATTAACGAATTTTGCCCGTTTTAACTCTAGTTTCCTCTTTTGCTCACTTTAACTTCCGTGACCTCATGAAATGTCACATTGATGTCTTAGAGATGGTTTTATCTCAAGGGACTATGGTTTCATCTTTTGCTTCAGCATTTCGGATCCGTTATTGGGTCAACTTTCGGGTCATCACTGACGCACCGGGTTGAAAAACTTGGGCCGTCACAGGCTTTATTTGGGAAGGAATAGATTCAGCAGAATAATCCCAAGCACTATATCCAACTATTCTAAGTTTACCATTCTAGATATGTCAGTTAACTCCTTCACTGGCTCTATATCAAATACGCTTGGTAGTTTAACACTCCTCCAACGGCTCTTAATTGCTGAAAATAATTTGACAAGGGAATCTTCTACTCCAAAATTAAGATTTTTCACTGCTTTGGCCAATTGCAGACATTTGGAAATACTGAGCGTAGCCGGAAATCAATTTAATGGCATACTCCCGGATTCAATTGGGAATTTGTCTATTTCTCTATGAATTTTTGAAGCATTTGGAAGTAAAATCAAGGGCAGCATCCCCAATGGAATCGGCAATTTAAGCAACTTGGAACTTATACGCCTAAATAGAAATGAGTTGGTTGGACCTATCCCGATGACAATTAGAAGGTTACTGAATCTCGATCATTTGTACCTTGAACACAATAGACTACAAGGACCCATCCCAGATGATCTCTGCAAGTTAACCAAGTTGGGAGACATTTACGTAAGTAACAATAAGCTTTCTTGACCGATACCAACATGCTTGGGAGACCTCAAGTCTCTAAGAGGACTCTACTTGGACTCCAACAACTTGACTTGAATGATACCTCCAAACTTGTGAAGCCTTGAGGATCTATTGGGTTTGAATTTCTCGACAACTCTCTCAGTGGTAATCTACCATTAGATATCGGGAATTTGAAGGTCATAACACAATCGGAGCTGCTCAATCATTAGTCAATTTCTCCTTGGCACATAATAAACTACAAGGGAATATTCCTTAATCACTGGGCAACTTAATAAGTTTGGAATTCTTGGATCTCTCCAACAACAATTTCTATGGAGAGATTCCCATGTCCTTAGGGACACTCAGGTATCTCCAATATTTTAATATATCTTTCAATAAACTCCAAGGAGAAATTCCAACTGGAGGACATTTTGTGAACTTTACAGCTCAATCATTTATGCATAATGATGCACTTTGTGGCCAAGCCCAACTGCATGTCCCACTGTGCAAAACCAATAAGCACCAACGATCAAGGTCGAAGATTGTGCCTCTTCTGAAATATATTTTACCTCCCGTTGCATCAACAATTCTTATGGTGGCTCTCTTATTTGTGTTGGTCCAACACCGGAAACAAAAGGTTAGATTACCAACAAATGCAGATTTATCACCTCTGACATTGAGAAGAATTTCATACCAAGAGCTTTTACAAGCGACAGATGCATTTAGTGAAGCCAACCTGCTCGGCATTGGAAGTTTTGGTTTAGTTTATAAAGGAATGCTTTCAGATGGGATGAATATTGCATTAAAGATTTTCAATTCGCAATTAGAAAGAGCATTCTACAGTTTTGATGCCGAATGTGAAGTGATATGCAATAGTCACCATCGAAATCTTATAAGAATCATCAGCAATTGCACTAACTTGGATTTTAGAGCCTTGGTACTAGAGTACATGCCTAATGGGAGCCTTGACAAGTGGTTGTATTCTCACAACTATTGCTTAGATATTGTGCAAAGACTAAACATAATGATAGATGTTGCATCAGCCTTGGAATATCTACATCATGATCAAGTGACACCCATTGTTCACTGCGATTTGAAGCCCAACAACGTCTTACTCGATGAAGATATGATTGCACATGTTGCTGATTTTGGTATTGCCAAAATCTTAGGGGATGGGGATCTTATGGCGCAAACCATGACCTTAGCAACTATTGGGTATATGGCACCAGGTGATGTTCCATGTTCCTTATATTGATTCAAGTTCTCTTTATTTATTTTTTGAACTTGGTATTTTTTTTATTCTATTTTCATTTTTTATTTTTCTAAATACTGTTGTGTGGTGCATAGAGTATGGAATGGAAGGACGAGTATCAACAAGATCTGATGTCTATAGTTATGGTAATATGTTGATGGAAATGTTCATGAGGAAGAAGCCGACTGATGAAATGTTTTCTGAAGAGAAAAGCTTGAAGCATTGGGTGAATGAAGCATTGGATGATTCAATAATTGAAGTTGTGGACACCAATCTGATAGGAAGAGATGATGATCTCTCTGTAAAGGAGCAATGTATATCATCAATCTTTGGTTTGGCAATGGATTGTTCAGATGATTTGCCTGAGAATAGGATCAACATGAAAGACACCTTGATTACACTCCAGAAAATTAAAATCTCATTTCTAGCAAATGTTGAAATGGCTTGAAAGACAAAGCTCTGGATTAACAGGTACCAAATTTAGTTGTATTTTGTACTTGTCATGTCTTGCTTTATTCAAATTTTACTATAGTGAATATCCATCCACAGGAGAAAATTTATGAATGATTTATTAAAAACAACACCAGATGTTGTGTTGGCATTTCAAAATGAGTTCTGATAGGGAGTCTGACTGTTTTGATGTGTGGGGGCGCATGGGGCAATTGTGGGATGCAACACCCCCCTTCCTTCTCCATCAAAACAGTATTTGAGAATACCTCGTTAATACTACTCGTAGAACAGATTTTTGACATAATTAGGACCCATCAACGGATAGAGCTATTGGAGTATGGTTTGTGCTCAGTAGAATTTTTTTATACATGCTAAAAACTTAGTGCCCTCACTATTTTTTTTTTGGTAATTAAAGCCCCCTATTATTCAATCAATCGTCTTCCCAAACTATCATTCAATGTATCAATCAAGTAGTTTGTGAGAGCTAGATTAATCTGTTGAATTGAGAATTGCTTCTAATGCCAGAAACTTTGCAGCAGATTGGTTCTTGCTTAGCAGCTGCATTTAAACACCAGTCCAGGTGCTCCTCCACTGGACCTAAGTTGGATGGTTGATGTGTTTCGTGTATTTGGAGTTGCTCATTTTAGCTTTCTTGCCTTTGTATACTTTAATTTTGAGTGTTCCTTGTTTGTGGTTTGGCAGCATTGACTGCTCTGCTTTATTTTCTTGTATATATTCCTAGTTTTACAAGAGAGAATGCAACTTGGTAGCTCACTTCGTTGGACAGTTTGCTCTGCCCCCACAAATGTTCTATTTCTTTTGAAAGTTTCTATGCGGAGATGGCCAGTAATGTTGTTGTACCTGATTGAATTCTTTACTTTTGCCAATATCATTTTTTTTTTTTTTTTTTTTTTTGTCAAGACAGATTAAAAAGAATAAAATTCCAAAACATTCTAAACTTTTTTTATATAAAAATAAATAAATTTAAATGATGTTAAATTATAGAATTTAATATTTTTACAATAGGTTTTGTTTATTTATTTATTTTACACTAGATTAATTCTATAGAATGTATATAAAATTGAGGTATAATCATGTCAGTGAGTATATCTAGGGGTGACAAATTACGACACGACATGAACACGATACGAGTTAAAAAAATTTGGGTTTGGCATAAACGGGTTTGGGTCATAAAAGTGATTGACCCGTTTACTTAGCCGTATCAGGTTAGGTTTAAGGGGTTCAACCCATATAACCCGTTTATGACCCATGTAACTCAATATGTTATAATTGTGAATATGATCTATGTATTATGTTACTTGTTTAAACCCAATTATTATATATAGTTAAGTCATTTTAACATAAATCTTGTTTATGCCTTATGATTTTTTTATTTATTATTTTGAATATTTAGGTTAATTATGACAAATTTTTTTTCTATTATTTAGTATTTAATTAAATATTTAATGTCTCGTTTTGATAAACAGGTCATTAAATTGGTTAACACGTTTACCTGTTTAATAAATGTGTTGTGTTAGTGTTGATAATTCTTGACACAATTATTAAATAAGTTGGGTTTGGATTTACCTATTTAATATAATACTATTATATCGACACAACACAAATACAAATTGTCACCCCCAAGTATATCATATATGTGTATTGGATTATATATGGGATTAAAAGAAACTTATATTATTGTGGACTTAAGAGCGACTGTTGACATAAACACGGAGATAATATAAAAGGAGGGATAATTCTATAGAAATGGGGTTTTGGGGGTCAAAAGGCAAAAGAATGGAGTCAAAATTAAGTTTTCTAAATTAATGAAATTTTATGAAAGTCTGAGATGGATATGAAAAATTATTGTACTGTCATCTTTTTATTCCCAAAATACATTTCTATTGTTGTCATGAAATTATGCCACTAACCTGGCCTCTTATATATAGAGAGAACTTATCTATGACAACCCTTCTTCCCAAATGAATAGCCAACAATCCCATCCACCATCTCTCTCTTTCAACCACCTAACTAGCAAACCCATTTTTAAAAAAAAAAAAAGAAGCAAATCTTTGTTCTCCCTTTCACGTTCCTTCCAAAACATCTTTTCATCCAAACCCGATTTAAACCCAAAATCCATATAAGACAAAAGCAAAATCAACATCCAAGTTGAGATTCAAAAACTTAACACGAAACATCCTAAAAAAACCAACACAATCCTCTGTACACGGCTCGACAATACAAAAGGTTGATGCAAATGCTTGTGAATCCACAAGACATCTTCAAGTGGATCTGTGAAATCCAAATCACACCATAAAAATTGGAATATTCAAAAATGAGAACTGGGCCTCTGTCCATTTTTCTTGAAGGTTTACAGTATCAAAGTAGCAAATATCTACCTTTCAAAAAAAAAGTAGCAAATATTTCTTAATTTCTAGGGTTTGGTTGGACTTGGCAACATCGGCGAAGGCTTGGGCGTAGCTTCCGGCAGTGCTGTCAGCCATCCTGGCTTCACTGTGTCGTTTTCCGGTAATTTTGACAGTGTGTTTCAGGAGTTGGAGGAAAAAGGAGCTACCGGAGAAGGAGAGTTTGAAAGGATTGGTACAGATGTGTTTCTCTTCTCTCTCTAGATATGAGGGGTAGTAGCATAATTTCATAGAAACAATAGAAGGGTATTTTGGGAATAAAAAGATAATGTACAATAATTTTCCATGTCTACATATAGTCTTTCATAAAATTTCATTAATTTGAAAAACTTGATTTTGATTTCATTCTTTTGGCATTTGACCCCAAAACTCCATTTTTATGAAATTATTCCATAAAAGAATTAAGTTTGCATATGTAATAAAATCAGTTATAGCAAAGTGTGAATTTTTTTTCCAACCTCACCCATAATGGCTTTTCTCTATCTCATCTAGGAGCTAGACTGTTGTAAAGACGATGTGAAGTGAGACCAAAATTTTCAACTCAAAAAACAATCTATAATGAAAATTGTCTCACAAGTAAAACTTTCACAATTTTGTTTTCTAATTTTATATATATATATATATATATTTACACACACACATATTTTTAACTTTTTCAACAAATTGTATAGAAGAACCAAAAATGTTTATATTGTCATGTCCCAGGTAATGTGAAACTAATTTAAGGATTGTGCAGTGGTACCTCCTAATCTTTCCAAATAAAATATGGAAAGTTCATGTCAGCAAAAGGTAATGTTTAACTTATTCATATTCTAATTTCCAGAACACTTCAATGGCAAGTGGGGCCTGGATTGGCTGGGAGACTCGTGCAAGTCTTTTTTCTTTTTTTGTTGGTTTGGTAAAAGACTTACGCAAGTCTACCCATAAGGCCAAGGGGGAAAAGGCCAACAGAAAAAAACAAACCAACAGCAGGGAAAGCCAAAGATTTTAGAATCAGTGCCGGCTCAATACAAGGTAAGGGGTCTAAGGCAACATTTTAAAATAACTTTTAATATTATTGTTGTTGTTAAAATAATAATATAAGTAACAATAATTGATTTTATTTTATTTTATGAAAGTTTTGAGTATATATATTTAAATGACTGATGAGACTTGCGAAAGAAAATAAACACCTACAATGTTCATTCAGAATTTAATTAAGTATTAGTGGCCATAACGTATTAAATATATACTAGCCTTTTTATGTTCGTTTGAGTACTCCGTAGTTGTTTTGGGCAACTGTTAATAATCATTAATAATATTTTTAACTATTGGGTGGCTTAACTGGTGAGAGTGACAAACAAGCAACTCTTCGCAATTAAGTTGGTGTTAATAACACAAGAAGAAATTAAGAACTTTGTTAACTGACTGTGATTATGGATAATCAATTATGCATCGTCATAATCACAAAGAACTATGAGTCATTCAACCCAAAAGCAAGGTCAATTGATTTACAGGATAAACTTTCGTAATTTTTTTTCTAATTATAGCATGAGTGTATAGATATATATATATATATATATATATATATATATATATATACACACACATTTTTTTTACCTTTATCAACAATATATATAGAAGAATAAAAAATGTTTATATTGCCATGTCCCAGGTAATGAGAAACTTATAAAGGGTTGTGTGACCTACTGGTACCTTCTCAACTTTTTAAGTAAAAGGTAGAGAGTTTAAGTCTCACTGAGAGTAAAAGGTAATAAAAAACTTATTCATATTCTAATTTCCAAAACGCTTCAATGGCAAGTCTTTTTTTTTTTTTTTGGGTTTGGTTAAAGACTTGTGCAAGTCTACCCATAAGGCCGAGGGGGAAAAAGGCCAACAGAAAAAAACAAACCAACAGCAGGGAAAGCCAAAGATTTCTGAATCAGTGCCGGGTCAATATAAGGCAAGGTCAAGGGCAAAATTTTGAACTAACTTTATTTTTATTATTATTGTTGTTGTTAAAATACTAATATAAGTAACAATAATTGACTTTTAGTTTTTTATTTTATTTTATTTTTTTTAAGAAAGTTAAGTGTGAGTGTATTTAAATGACTGATGCGACGTGCGAAAGAAAATTAACACCTACAATATTCAGAGTTTATTTAAGTATTAGCGGGCCTTAACTTAGTAAATATATATTGGACTTGCGAGGTCTTAGCAATTAAATTAGTAATAAAGTTGGTGGACCCAAATTTCAAATAATGTAATAGTATTGTATATTAGCGGTGGCAATTAAATTAGTAATAAATATTTCAATGGACCTAAAGTCCAAATTTGTTCTAGATCTTATACTAGTAGTTGTGACTTGTGAGACTGATTCTATATAACATACCCCCGACCATTCCTTTCCTATAGACTCATGGAGAACACTAGCTTCCTTTTTTTCTATAGCTAGTTTGAAAATCTTGTTTATTTTGGAGAATTTTGGGTTGCGGTCAAAGTACGTGGAGGTCGGTCAATTGAACAATGAATCACATAATTCCAATCTTTGTTGTTGTATGTAGTAATCTTGATTGGATAACTAAATGGGTGGTTGTGATCAATGAGCATATATTATCAACTATGCATCCTCATCATCTCCAGATCATGACCATGATTTCACCATCTTATATAGCATCTTGCTAAGCCTGACTTGTTTGCTAAGTCGTCCATAAGTCTTTCACATGAAACTCAACCCATGGAGAGGACTAGCTTCTTTTTTTCTATCGCATTGTTGATACACTCTTGTTGTTCTATGGTTTGCTTGGCTAGGTCCATTTTTCCAAACTCGACTACCGATCAATATGCTCTTCTTGCCTTCAGATCCCATATCACTTATGAACCTGAAGATGTATTAGCTAATAATTGGTCTACCACTACCTCAGTTTGCAATTGGGTCGGTGTCTCCTGTGGTCTTGTCCACCAGAGGGTCACAGCCTTGAATCTCTCTCGTGTGGGTCTCCAAGGCACAATTGCTCCACATCTTGGAAATCTCTCATTCCTGGCATCACTTGATATCAGTTATAACAATCTCAACGGGTATATACCCGAAGAGTTGGCTCATTTGCGTCGATTAAAAGAAATCAATTTGGGATACAACAATTTCAGTGGAGGGATACCATCATGGTTTGGGATTTTACAAAAACTCCATAAGTTGATATTGTATAACAATAGTTTCACAGGTACTGTCCCAAAATCACTATGCAACATCTCGAAGCTTCATATATTGGATATCTCAAACAATTCTTTACATGGAAATATTCCGGAAGAGATTGGTAATCTTTCTAAACTGGAAGTATTACGCTTGCATTTTAACAAGCTCACAGGTTCCATACCATCTTCCATCTTCAACATTTCTTCTTTGAGAAAGATTAGTTTGGCAAGCAATAGTCTATCCGGAAGTTTGCCACTAGATATGTGCAACAATCTTCCTAAGCTTGAAGGATTTTCTGTTTCTTGGAATCAGCTTAGCGGGCAAATTCCATCCAATTTATACAAATGCCGGGAGCTCCAATTTTTATCATTATCGGTCAATGACTTCAATGGCAGGATACCTAAGGAAATTGGCAACCTAACCATGCTCAAGGCGTTATATCTTGGTATAAACAACTTGAAAGGTATGATTTTAATTTCACATCTAACTATTCATTATAAGCATAACAAGGGAGAATATCATGTGTTGCTTTTGACAACTTTGCAGGTGTAATTCCATCAGAGATAGCTAATCTTCAACATCTGGAACTAATTAACTTGAGGAGTAGCTCTCTAACAGGAACCATCCCATCTTCTATCCTCAACATGTCATCATTGCAATTTATAAGCTTCAATAACAATACACTATCTGGAAGCCTCCCAGCGACCATTCATTATAACCTTCCCTTTCTTAGAGAGCTAGATCTTACTTCAAATCAACTCATAGGTCAAATTCCATCCGGCTTATGGAAATGCAGAGGGCTTCAATGGTTATCACTCACCGGTAACAAATTCACCGGTAGCATATCCAAGAAAATTGGGAACCTTACTTCAATCAAAAACCTGTATCTTGATCAAAACTACTTGACAGGTACCTTCAAGACTTTACAACCTTTATTTCACTTTAGTAAATGTTTTCCTTGTGCATAATGAATCTATATGAAGTTCCAAATTCAAGAGTGCTCCTAACGTTAGAGAAGCTTGTAATTTCATACATGTCATCAAATTTAGTCAGTACATTAAAGAAACATTATTCATCTTTACTTAATTTTTGTATTTTAAATAAATAAATAAATAAATAAATATATATATATATATATATATATATATATATATATATATATATATTACAATATTATATCTCACAAAAATCTATGTCAGAACATCCTTAAATATACAGCCTCCAATTGTTTTATTCCATTTAAAGATCAAAAGTGGCACGACAAATTTCATTTCATTTCAGCCATGGTGAGAATAGATTTAAATTAAAACTTTGCTTGTATATGCTTGTATTCGGGTTGGTCGTTGTCACAATTTAGCTAGTTCTTTTTTCCTTTTATAAAAAATATGGTTGTCAAAATCGCGATTTTGAGTTGTAGAATCGCACGATTCGTGCAATTCTACGACTCGCACCGCCAAAATTTTCCAAATCTCACCAAAATTGTTCAATTGGTAAAATCGTGCATGAAATCGGTAGTAGAATCGTGGAATCGCACGATTCAATGCGATTCCACCCACTCTACTGAATTGGATTGTTTAGGCCTTTTTTTGGGGGTTGGTTCCTTCTTTTGAGGGTTGGGCTACAAAATAAAAAGGGACCAACTTTGTTGATGTTGTGAATCGCAGGTACTTTACCAGATGAGATTGGCAACCTTAATCTCGAGTTACTCACTGTCTATGGGAACACTTTGACTGGCACCATTTCGTTCAAAATATTTAATGTGTCAACAATGAAACTCCTTTACCTGTCAAACAATAACCTCTCAGGCCATCTTCCTTTGGACATGGGGGTTAGGCTTTCTAATCTTGAATACCTTCATCTGGGTCGCAATAAACTCGGTGGAAAAATCCCAAACTCTATCTCGAATGCTTCTCGGCTAATCGAGATTGACATGTCCTATAATTCATTCACTGGATGTATACCCAATACGCTTGGTAGTTTAAGATTCTTGCAGGTTCTCTTCGTTGGTTCAAATAGTTTGACTGGAGAATCTTCTACCCCGGAATTGAGACTTTTCTCTTCTTTGATGAATTGCAGACAATTGAAGAAATTGAGCTTATCATTAAATCCCCTAAACAGCATACTTCCAAATTCATTGGGAAATTTGTCTTCCTCGCTTCAAATCTTTGATGCATCTGGATGCCAACTCAAGGGCAACATCCCAACTAGAATCGGAAATTTTAGCAACTTGTACGACATAAACTTAGGAAGCAACCAACTGGCTGGACCTATCCCAAAAACAATAGGGGCGTTACAAAATCTCCAACGTTTATCTCTTCAAAATAATAGATTGCATGGATACATTCCTGATGATATTTGTCGGTTAAGGAGATTGGGGAACTTATACTTAAGTGATAATAAGCTACATGGACAGATCCCTACGTGCTTGGGTGAGCTTAAGTCTCTAAGATGGCTCGATCTTGACTCCAACAAATTGTCTTCCATAATACCATCAAACTTGTGGAGCCTTGAAGATCTACTGGGTATCAACTTATCCTCAAACTTTCTAAGAGGTCATCTACCATTAGAAATTGGAAATTTGGAAGTTATAGGATCTATAGACTTGTCAAGGAATCACTTATCGGGTACAATCCCCAGCACCATCGGAGGAGCTCAGTCATTAGTTTCTCTCTCCTTGGCCCACAATAAAATGCAAGGACCTATTCCTCAATCGTTGGGCAACTTGATAAGCTTGGAGTTGTTAGATCTATCGAGTAAGAATTTTTCTGGAGTTATTCCCAAATCCTTGGAGGCACTCAGGTATCTCCAATATTTCAATGTGTCTTTCAATAGACTGAAAGGAGAAATTCCTACGGGAGGACATTTTGCCAACTTTACAACCAAGTCATTTTGGCATAATGATGCATTGTGTGGTGTACCAAGATTGCAAGTTCCCCCGTGCAAAACCAACAAGAATCCGCAATTTGCTAGTCTGAAATATGTTTTACCCCCTGTTGCATTAGCAATTCTTGTTGTGGCCCTTGTATTTTTGTTGATGGGACGCCGAAACCAGAGTATCAAATTAAAGACCCAAGCAGATTTGCCTTCTCTTGCATGGAGGAGGGTTTCGTATGAGGAACTTCTACAAGCAACAGAAGCATTTAGTGATACAAACCTAATCGGCATGGGGAGTTATGGTTCAGTATATAAAGGAGTGCTCTTGGATGGGATGAGTATTGCGGTAAAGGTTTTCAATTTGCAACTAGAAAGAGCTTTCAAGAGTTTTGATGTCGAGTGTGAACTAATGCGCAACATTCGTCATCGAAATCTAATTAAAATTATCAGCAGTTGCACTAACCTGGATTTCAAAGCCTTGATACTAGAGTACATGCCTAATGGGAGCCTTGAGAAGTGGTTGTATTCTCACAACTGTTGCTTGGATATCCTCCAACGATTAAATATCATGATATATGTTGCATCAGCCTTAGAATATCTACATCATGGCCATACAACACCCATTGTTCACTGTGATTTGAAGCCCAGCAATGTCCTCCTCGATGAAGACATGGTTGCACATGTTGCTGATTTTGGAATTGCAAAACTCTTAAGTGAAGGGGATCTTATGGTACAAACCATGACCTTGGCAACAATTGGATATATGGCACCAGGTGATATTCCATTTCTGTTATTTAATTTAGTTCATGTTGAAGTATTCCTATTCTATTATTATTATTTTTTATTTTAAGACATTAAATTCTCCATTCCATGCTAAAAGTTCGGTTCCAGTTTTGATTTTGTAATTAATATAAATGTCATGCATAGAATATGGAACGGGAGGAATAGTATCTACAAGAGGTGACGTCTATAGTTACGGTGTTTTGTTGCTGGAAACATTCACAAGGAAGAAGCCAACAGAAGAAATGTTTGCTGGGGAGATGAGCTTGAAGTGTTGGGTGAATGAAGCATTAATGGATGGTTCAATCATTGGAGTTGTGGACTATAATTTGATGGGAAGAGGAGAAGAAGATTTCTCTGTGAAGGAGCAATGTGTATCATCTATCTTGGGTTTGGCTATGGAATGTTTAAATGATTCACTTGAGGAAAGGATCAACGTCGAAGAAGTTTTGGTTAGACTCAAAAAGGTTAAGGTTTCCTATCTAGCAAATACTGGTAGGACTATAATTTAAAAGCAATCAAGATTATTATGTATCATGTTTAGTAATATTATGTACTTTCCACATTATTCCTGTTATAGTGAGGCTAATATCTTCTTTTTATTTCACAATTTAATCATGAAAAAATGTCTCTATATATATATAATTAAAACTGAAAAAACTACTTCAATTTGATCAAACTATGCAAATTGAATTTGAATATTTAAATTCAAAGTCAAATTTTTTTTCCCCCCTAAATAAACCTACTTCAATTTGCATATTTTGACAAACAAAAAAGAGAAATCAGATGTGGACATGGTGTAATGGAACCGAAAAAGTCAAAATGCAACAAAATTAGTTATAGCATCATTTTTTTTTTTTTTTTTTTTTTTTTTTTTTTTTTTTTTTTTTTTTGGATCTTGCATATAGTGCCCAAAATGTATTAATACACAATTTATGCTATTAACATAATTAAAAAAAAAAGGATTTTTATTGAATTTTTAAAGATCATATAACACGAGTAATGATATATTGATGATTAATTCCAAGTCATTGTTAAGAGTGAAGATGATATTAGGGCAATATTATTGAAAAAAGAAAAAGAAAAGAACAAATATTAGGGTAATAGGGTTAGAGTTGTAGACAAAATAGCAGTATAGATGGGCTTGGGTTCTATTTTAATAGGGATGAATGGTTATAATCTGAATTAAGTTGGGCTCATCTCAAATAAAAGGAGCTCATGTTAGGTTTATAGTACGTGGGCTAAGCTTTCATCACATAAAATTATCAAGGTATCTATATAATTTTCATCAACTCCAAATGAATCTATTAACAAGTTTATTCACGAACATATTCGCAAACATACTAGCAGAGGCGGGATTATTTGAAATTAGTTAGTTAATTAAACAAGATTAAAAAATCTATTTGAAATTGATTCACAAGTCGAAGTCCAACTGTTCATCGAATGCTGGGTTGAGCTAAAACCCGAACCACACATAATCAATCACATAGTTGCTGAAGGTATGTACTATATTCTTCGACAAGTGGAAATACATGGAAAGTTGCTGAAAGTAAATTACAAGGAAGATAGTAGCCTCTTCTTTTTGACTTGACTCTTCAGTGGCAACTATAACCTCTTTCACAGTCATGCAAAAGCATATATTTATTATTATTTTTAAATATATATATATATATATATATATATATATATATATATATATATATCACAAAAAAAAAAAAAAAAAAAATTGTTCAAGCAATAAAAATTCCTGATTTGTGTCCCGGGAAACTTGTATTATTTTTTTACTAAATGGGAAATTTTTACTAGCATAAAGCAGAACTAGAAATTATTAATATTTCTTCTTTTCAATTATGAAAAGTTTAGATTTAAATTATATATCGCAAATAATATCGGTGGTGCAAAAAGTAGTATGAAAATTAATCTCTTCGTTTAGGAGAAACACGGTGTACAAGAGAGAGTGTGTAACCGAGTACGTATTCATGAAATGCATGTCATTCAAGTCTTCGGAAGCAATGATTAGTCAAGTTTCGAACGTTGTTTCGTGATTCCATACAATGCCTGATTTCCCTACCTTATATAAGTCCCGCTAAACTAATCCATCTTTATACATTCGGTTAATAGTAATTTACACATATGAATGCCATGGACAACACCAGTTGCTTCCTTTTTTCCATCTCATTGCTAGTAAGCTTTTTCATCGTTTGCTTGTCTAGCTCCATCACAAACTTGACCACCGATCAATTCGCTCTTCTTGCCGTCAGAGACCATATCACTCGCAACCCTGAAGATGTATTGGCTAGTAATTGGTCCACCACTAGCTCAGTTTGCAATTGGGTTGGTGTCTCATGTGGTCTTAGGCACCACAGAGTCACAGCCTTGAATCTCTCTCGTACGGGTCTCCAAGGCACCATCGCTCCACATCTTGGAAATCTCTCATTCATCGCGTCCCTCGACATCAGTCACAACAATTTCAATGGCTATGTACCTCAAGAGTTGGCTCATTTGCATTGATCGAAAGAAATCAGTCTACAATACAACTACTTCAGTGGAGAGGTGCCATCATGGTTTGGGATCTTACTAGAACTACATCAGTTGCATCTAAATAAAAATAGTTTCACAGGTACTATCCCAAAATCACTAGGTAACATCTCCAAGCTAGAATTGTTGGATATAAGAAACCATTATTTGCATGGAAACATTCCAAAAGAGATTGGTAATCTCTCTAAACTAGAAATGCTGCACTTAGAGTTTTAACAAGCTCACAGGGTCCATCCCATCTTCGATCTTCAACGTTTCTTCTTTGAAGTCGATTGATTTCACAAACAATAGCATCTCTGAAAGTTTGCCAATAAATATATGCAGCCATCTTCCTAAACTTGAAGGACTTTATCTTTCTCTGAATAACCTTCATGGCCAGATTCCCTCCAATTTATATAAACGCAGGGAGCTCCAATATCTATCATTATCATTCAACAACTTAAGTTGCAACATACCAAGAGAAATTGGCAACTTGACTATGCTCAAGGGTATGATTATGCAATATCTAATATCTATGAATATCAAGAAATTTGTGAATAAGTATAATTTGAAAATAGAATATTTTTGCAATATGAAGGGACAAGAACAAAAAGGAACCTGGGAAGTCCTTGAAGAAGATTTATAGATAAAGAATAGAAAGAGGAGTAAGGAAATCCTAGAAATAACATTAATGTTATATTTGGGAGCACTGAATTGGTATCTTTAATTTGGAATTAGAGTAAATTTAGTTCAAAATTTATACTAAACGTTCAAAATTTGTTGATGCAAATGACGTGGCTCAATTTTGGCGACCCACAATGGAGCAGATTGGGTCGCCAAAATGAGCCCAACGCTTAAAAGGCCACCATTAGACTTGCTCTAACACTCCATTCCATTTGATATTTAGGTTCAATAAATTGAGTTCTAGAAGATTGGAGCCCCAATATAACAATTAAGTGTATAGTTAATATTAAAAAACAAGGGCTACTAATATTTATTGCTATTTTTGTTCTGATTTGTTAGTCCTGTTTGTTTGTGTTGGTATAAACAACTTGGTAGGTATGATTTTAACCTCACATCCAACTCATACATCATATCATGTAATTATGTATTCATTACAAGCATATACTGATATAATAAGAGAGAAAATTATATATGTGTTGCTTTTGACAAATTTGCAGGTGTATTTCCATCAGAAATAGGTAATCTTCAACGTCTGGAAGTAATGAGCTTAATCAATAGCTCTCTAACAGGTCCATACCATCTTCAATCTTCAACATTTCTTCTTTGAAAATAATTGATTTAACAGACAATAGCCTATCTGGAAGTTTGCCTATAGACATGTGCAACAACCTTCCTAAACTTGGAGGACTTCATCTTTCTTCGAATCAGCTTAATGGGCAAATTCCATCCAATTTATGCAAATGCAGGGAGCTCCAAATTTTATCATTGTCATTGAATGGCTTTAATGGCAGCATACCTAGAGAAATTGGCAACCTAACTATGCTCAAGGAGTTATATCTTGGTAGAAACAACTTGAAAGGTATGCTTTTAAGTTCACATCTAACTCACGAGTTAGTAGTTTCAATATATACCTTTTTGTGGACAAGAAATTCCTTAAGCAGAAGTGAAAATTGATAAACTTGTGTAGGAGCTATTCTCCCATATTAGCTAATTGTTCAACCATATCATTCATAACACTAGCTAAATGTTTTATAAGTCTTTTATTTTCATTTTTATTTTCAATGAGCCGCATATGTGAGGATGTTGTTTTATTATTTACTTATATATGTCAATGTCGGATGTTCTAAATATACCTGAGAATCAAAACAAGGTATTCATATGATCATCATAACCCGCCCGGTACTCTTGTGCTTGGAAACACGGATATGGACATGGACACGGGTACAATACAGTACTAACATGGCTATATGACAAATCTTTAAAAAATAAGCCATAGATATGGCATTGATACGTCAAAAGAAATATATCTATTTTTATATATAATATTATTGAATATAATAATAAAAATAATAATAATAATTGTTTTTACTCATTTTATCCGTATAATCATTAATGAAATCATTATAAATTTGGAGCTTAGAGCTAGATCCTTGTTATTTTAGTGAATTTTATATTATTTTGTAACTAACCCATAATATATGTTAAGTTGCACTTATTTTCATCTTTTACAAAAAATAATTACAAAATCATCCCACCGTGTTTTGAAAGTGTTTAAAACATATCATTGCCTTGTCCGTGTTGTGTTACAGCTGTATCCAACCTCAAACATATTCAAATTTCAACAAACTTTTAGCTCTGTGTGTGTGTCTTATACCACCATAACACCCCTAGGTGAAGTGTCTATGCTTCTTAGCTCTTGTGTGACTAATTATTGTTATTACATAATTATATATTTGTTACAAGCATACTTGTATAACAAGGAAAAATTTATATATGTGTTGCTTTTGACAACTTTGTAGGTGTTATTCCATCAGAGATAGGTAATCTTCAAAGTTTGGAAGTAATGAACTTAATTGATAGCTCTCTAACTGGGTTCATCCCATCTTCAATCTTCAATATTTCTTCTCTGAGAATAATTAATTTCTCAAACAATAGCCTGTCTGGAAGTTTGCCTGTACATATGTGTAACCATCTCCTTAAACTTGGTGGACTTTATCTTTCTCGGAATCAGCTGAATAGGCAAATTCCATCTAATTTATACAAATGCAAGGAGCTCCAAGGTTTATCATTGTCAATCAGTAGCTTTAATGGCTGTATACCTAGAGAAATTGGCAACTTGACTAACCTCAAGGAATTATATCTTGATGAAAACAACTTGGAAGGTATAATTTTAAGTTCCCATCTAACTTAGAAGCTAGTTTTGATATATATTTTCTTGTTATATATAAAATGTGTTCTATATTTACTTGTAAGTATCAAAACTGTGAGTTGCGTGGTTTGCAAAAGTGGTGTGAAAAGTTTAATCCTAGATGAGAAAACTAGAGGATGTTGGTTATTTCTGAGCTGGGAGAGGTCTTAGACAGGGCTGCCCTCTTTCTCCTCTTTTGTGTACTTTAATTACTGATCATTTCTCAACTCTGATGCATGATAAAATTGTGGGAGGACAGATTCAGCTGTGTAATGTGGTTTAGAAAACTGGAATGTTGGTTTCTCATGCATTTTATGCTGATGACCTATTTATTATTGTGAAGTAGATATCTCTACTGCTAAGACAGTTGATGAGGTGCTTAAAAGGTTTCATATGGTATCTGAGCTTGAAGTGAACAAAGATAAGAGTTCCATCATATTTTCTAAGGCTGTCAGGGGGAGAAGAAGAATTTTACAGATTTTGCAAATGAAATAAGAAGCTTTTCCTATAAAATATCTTGGAATTACTCTAGTGAACAGAGTTTTGAAGAGTGTTGATTGCAAGGGATTATTTGATAAATTAAATGCAAGGTTGGATCACTAGAATACTATCAACCTTTCCCTTGCAGGTAGAATTGAGCTCCTTAGATCAGTTCTATATTCATTCTTATATCATTGGGTATTTGGTTTCAAAATACCCTGGGGATGTATTACTGCTTTGGAGAAAAAGTTTAAACACTTTTTATAGAGTGGTAAGTTAGACTCAAGAAAGATGTCCCAACTCAAATGGAGTCAAGTAACTCTCCCTTATACAGAAGGTGGCTTTAATCTATGCAGAATCTCTGACATTGATTTTGAAGCTAAGGTTTCAATTTATTGGGATTTTTTGAGGAACAAGGAGACTTTATCGGTGTAGTGGATGCATGCTAGATACTTACAACATCATAATTTTGGATGGTTTTACCAAAATCTCAAGACTCAAGTATTTGGAAATAGATTTTGGATACAAAAGACTTTATTCAAGAAAATGTGGTGTTCAAGATTGGAAATGGTGGATCCTTTAATATGTTATTTGATCCTTGGTGTGCAGGTTTGTCATTGGTTTAGAGATTTAGGGCAACTATGTTTAGAAATTTTGATAAACAGGTTACATCAACTACTTTTCTTGTTGATGGTGGATGGGTTTTACCTGTTTTTTTTTTTTCCCGAAACCTGCTGCTGTATTTGTTGTTAATATCATTCCAAAAACTGGTAACGATGAGATCTGTTGGATGCATGGTATGTTCAGTTTGAAGAATGCCTGGATAGCTTACGAGGCTAGAGGGCAAGTGGTTCAGTGGAAGGGTCTATGTTGGAAATATTGCAGACCAAGGATTTCTGTGGTTTTTGCAATTATCATGCATAACGAAAATCTTTCTTTTGTTAATTTATAGAGAAGGGGTTTTCATGGACCATCAGTATGTCATAACTGTTTTCAGGCTGAAGACAATAATTATTATTTATTCTGTACCTGTGTGTATGCTATTGAAGTCTGGCAGCAGATTGTTTTTTGGTTGAAAATTCCTGATCAAAAGTTCCGAGAGCTTAATTTGTTTATGGATTGGATGCTTCAGATTACACAGCCTAAGGGTTTTAAGTTCAAGTTGTTGAAAGGGTTCTTTGTTGCGTTTGTTTGGAAGATCTGGCTGGTGAGAAATTCCGTATTACATTGTGATACAAAAGTCTCCTCTGCTACTGCTGCAAATGATATAGTTTAGGAAGTTTTAAACTTCTTTTCTATTGGCCTTACTGATTTTCTAGCTCTTTTTGATGTGGTGCATGTAATGAAGCTTTGCTGGTGGAATTGTTGCTGATAGAAGCTTGGCTGCATTACTGGTTTGAGTTCAGCTAGAATGGAAGGTCATGACATAAGGTTTTATGTATTTTAACAAGAATTTTCAAGTGCAGCATTTGGTCTGTTTAAAGGTCTTTATAATGGGCTGAAAATTAGTTTTTAGTCTGTTTAGGTTTACTTTGCTGCGCTATGTAAATGGATTTAGTCCATTTACTTTTCTTTCTGCTGGAGAGTTCATCTCTTATTTGTAATTGTACTACTTTTCCTTTATATATAAATAAAAAACACACCATTTAGGAAAAAAAAACAAAAAAACAAAAAAAAAAAAGGAAAACTAGAGGAGGTTAATAAGTTTAGCTTTCTCTTTTGATTGATTTGTAATTAGATTATTTTAATTTTACTGGATTTAAACTAAACCAACACACAAAGCAATAAAAATAATGCAAGAAAATTAAATAAAGTTAGGAATTTAAATATAGTGACTCGTAAACATCATATTTGAGAATAGGTTAATACAAGTATAATAAAATGTTTTCAATAAATATATAAAAGTAGTGATACAAATTTGATTTTTTCCAATATTTGTGGTTTGTACTCCTTCCCAATTCAATCATACTCAATTAATCTCTTGTATAAAATTCTACCTAAATTTATACTATTACTAATTATTTATATTAACTAAAAATGAACATCATATAACTTTTTTCTTGTTTTGTCATACTCTATATTACAATCTCTTAGGTCCAAATAACCAATTCAATCAACGATAATTTTTGTACACAACAATAGTCACACCATGTGTGGGAATTATGGATAACTCATAAATGAATACCTTTTCAACTCTTATAGCGTAATGAATAATTTGTAAAACTCATAAAGCTTGATGAATAATGCCAGGGTGTTATGTTGTGAATGGCAGGTACTTTACCAGATGAGATTAGTTACCTTAGTCTTGAGATGTCTTTGGAAACAGCTTAATTGGAACCATTCCATTCAAAATGTTCAATGTGTCAACAATGAAAATCCTTAACCTAGGATTTAATCATTTTACAAGAAATCTTCCTTTTGACATGGGGTATTGGCTTCTGAATCTTGAAGAGGTTTATCTAATCATGAATAAACTCAGTGGAACAATCCCGAGCTCTATCTGTAATGTTTCTAAGCTAACTATCATTAGCATGAGCATGAACTCTTTCACTGGATCTATACCCAATACGCTTGGTAGTTTAAGACTCTTACGTAAGCTCTTCCTTCATACAAATAGTTTGACCAGGGAATCTTCTACTCCAGAGTTGAGAATTTTCTCTTGTTTAACAAATTGTTGACAATTGGAGGTATTGCGCATATCATTAAATCCATTCAACGACATTCTTCCAATTTCTTCATTTGGGAATTTATCTACTAGACTACAAGTGTTTGACGCATTTGGATGCAAAATTAAGGGTAAAATTCCTAGTGGAATCGGCAATTTGAGCAACTTGGTGATCTTGCTCTTAGGAAGGAACCATTTGAATGGACCTATTCCAAAAACTATAGATAGATTACAAAATCCGTACGTTTGCATCTTCAAAATAATAGATTGGAAAGACACATCCCAGATGAACTCTATTGGTTAGGAAAATTGGGAGATTTTTCTGTAAGTGATAATAAGCTAGATGGACAGATTTCAACATGCTTGGATGACCTTAAATCTCTAAGATGGCTCTACCTTGATTCCAACAAATTGACTTCCATGGTACTATCAAACTTGTGGAGCCTTGAAGACCTATTGGGTCTCAACCTATCCTCAAACTTTCTAACTAACGACCTACCTTTATATATCAGAAACTTGAAGGTCATAACACTAATTGACTTGTCAAGGAATCAGTTATCAGGTATCATCCCAAGCACCATCGGAGGAGCTCAGTCATTAGTTTTTCTTTCATTGTTCGACAATGAAATGTAAGGACCCATTCCTCAATCATTGGGCAACCTCATAAGCTTGGAATTATTGGATTTATCTCCTTGGAAGAACTCAGGTATCTCCAATATTTGAATGTCTTTCAATAGAATGCAAGGAGAAATTCCTAGTGGAGGACATCTCGCAAACTTTATAGATCGGTTGTTTATGCATAATGATGCACTCTGTGGTGAACACTGACTACAAGTTTCCCCGCGCAAAACCAACAAAAACGGGCAATTGATACCAAAAATTGTATCCCTGCTAAAATATATTTGACCCTCTATTGCATTATCAATTCTTGTTATGGTCCTCATAGTTTTGTTGATAGGATATCAAAAATAAAAGATCAAATTGCAGTCCAAGGCAGATTTGTCACCTCTAGCATGGAGAAAGTTTTCGTATCAAGAACTTTTACGAGCAACAGAAGCATTAAGTGAAACCAACCTTGTTGGCAAGGGAAGTTATGGTTCATTATATAAAGGAATGCTTTCTGATGGGATGACTATTGCAGTAAAGGTTTTCAATTTGCAGTTAGAAGGAGCTTTTAAGAGTTTTGATGTCGAGTGCGAAGTGTTGCGCAACATTCGGCATCGCAATCTAATTAAAATCATGAGCAGTTGCTGCAACATGGATTTCAAAGCATTGGTACTAGAGTACATGCCTAATGGGATCCTCGAGAATTGGTTGTATTCTCACAACTATTATTTGGACATCCTACAAAGATTAAACATAATGATAGATGTTGCATCAGCATTGAAACATTTACATCATGTTCATACAACACCTATTATTCACTGTGATTTAAAACCAAGTAATGTCCTTCTTGATGAAAACATGATTGCAAATGTTGCTGATTTTGGGATTGCAAAACTCTTAGGTGACGGGGATCTTATGGTTCAAACCATGACTTTGGCAACCATCGGGTATATGGCACCAGGTGATGTTCTATGTTCCATCTTAATTCATTTTTCAGCTTTTCCTATTTATTTTATGACCTTGCATTGTCCTTTTTCTTGTTTAGAATCTAATATTTTTATTTTTTTTATTTTTTTTCCAATAAGGTAAAGTCAATCTAGTTTCATTGTTGATTTTCTAATTAATGTTGATGTGGTGCGTAGAATATGGAATTGAAGGAAGAGTATTAACAAGATACGATGCCTATAGTTTTGGTGTCTTGTTGATGGAAACGTTTACAAGGAAGAAGCCAACTGATGAAATGTTTGCAGGAGAGCTGAGCTTGAAGCGTTGGGTGAACAAAGCGTTAGAGGGTTCCGTAATTGAAATTGTTGACACCAATCTGATAGGAAGAGATGACGAAAATTTCTTTGTTAAGGTGGAATGTGTATCGTTTATCTTTGGTTTGGTGATGGATTGTTCAAATGATTCAGCTGAAGGAAGGATCAATATGATTGATGCTTTGGCTAGACTCAAGAAAATCAAAACCTCTTTTGTAGCAAATATTGGTAGCGGCTTGAAAGATGGAAGCAATCAAGATTAACATGTATCATTTTTAGTAGTAATTTGTACTTCTCATATTTGTCTCTCTAATAATTTATATCCACTTGGAAACAAATTTTTATTGTCAAAATTTGCATTCTTAATTTAAACTCATTTTTGGGTCAATTCTTTTTCATTAGCTACTTCCAAAATGAAAAAAATATATCCCAATAACTCAACTTCCAGAATTTAATTTAATCTATAATCTTTAGACAGTTTTAAAATTACGGTTGGCAACTCCAATTCTCCTAACGAAATAAATCAACATGCCCGCAAAATCTAGTGATCATTATTTTACAAGAAAGAAAGAAAAATATTGCTAGTCCCATGCACATGATTTCTAGAAGAGTAATGATATTTAAGCCTTTCTGTCCAGAAATTACTTGCATATACCCTGGTAACTATCACGAACTACGCCTGAAGGTGCAAGAAACTGCTCTTTCTATTTGGAAAGTAATTTATTACACTTCAATTAATCTTTTCTTACACTCTCTCTCCTTCTATTTATATAAGTGTACACTTGCCCTAATTCCTCTCCCAAAATTCTCAATCTTGGGCATCCTTCCGTAGACCTAATCTTTGGGCTGTAGTGAATGGGAGTTCGTCCTGTGATGTTGAGGAGATTGGGCCTGGTTGGTCTTTCCAAAAAGTGGGTCAGTAGCCCAATAATCTTCTGGGCTGAGTGGACCGGCCCGAAGATGGTTCGGTCCACTTTCTGCCCCTTTAATCTCTCTCTCATTTATGAGAGTGAGATTACAAGGGGACATCATGATTGATGTGACGGCTCGAAGTAATGATGTGGGGAGGAAGACGGCTTGAACGGAGATCTGAACTTTGAAAACTGAAGCTTTATCATTACCCCGTGACGCTTTGGTCAACGTGACAGTATTCTATAAAATCACTGGTCTGCGCCTCCAAGCCTCTTTTTTGTCCTCTCCATCTCATATCAAAGCACTCCGTTCCCCCATTCTTCTCTGTCAGCGAGGAAATTATCTCCGGCGAACCTTTCTTAGAAGTTGCTCGTCTCCAACTTTCTACAGTGACTTTGTTGACTCCATTTCCTAAGGTTAGTTCCAATCTCTTCTTGTTTGTTAGAAAATTCTTTCCTCTTCTTCTTCTTTTTACATTCGAGTTTTCCTTCTGTCGTGGTCATGGTGAAAGACTTAGAGTCCATTCATGCAAAATACATGATCACCAATGATGTTCTCATTAAACGTTGTCCTAGGAATTTGAATATGAGGACTGGTGAAGGTCTCCTCCAAGGGGAGATCCTCTTTTCTTCTCTTTATCTAAATTTAATTAGATTCCCTCTGCATCCTTTCTTCTTTCTTGTCTGTAAAAAATTAACCTCTGCCCCCTTCAAGTAAATTGTAACTTCTTTAGGATCTTGTCAGTCCTTCTGGTCATGAATAATGACAGAAACCTAGAGCTTGATCTCCTGGACCTTCTCATTTGTTATAAGATCTGTAAAATTAGGCAGGAGGACATGTATTATCATCTCTTCCCTCTAGCCAAACGGTCAATCTATACAAACAAAACTGACTTTAAGAAGGGTTAGAAAAATGGCCTTATAGGGGTTAGAGGGGCCTAGCAAGCTCCAGCATCTAAAAACTTCCCCATCCTGACCGCCTTCAACGAGTGTTTTGTCCCCTTACATGTTAAATATAAAAAACATAAGAGTGAGTGCAAGTGTGAATTTGCCTCCCACGCTATTGTTCTTTCCTTCGCCATTCTCTGGGCATCCTTTATGATGCCTTGAGTTACGGTGTTTGCAGGTCTAGGCTTCGTATTTTGGAAGAAAAAGTGTGGACCAACATCCCTTCGTCTTTCGAAGTATATACCTTAGATGCTCTTGACAACATCTCCTTCCAAGGATTCTGTATGGATAAACTATAGATCCCATCATTCGGGAGGACGAGGGACAATCCTAGTGCTCCCAATGCTACACCTGCCCTTTCCCCAGCTTCTGGGTCTGCAAACCCTCCATGTGCTCAGGAATCTGACCAGGGGAAGGGGAAAGGGAAGGGACCCCAATCCGAGAGGGGTGCTGATTCTGATCTGGATGAAGTTCCCTTAGCCCAAAAGATCCAGAGTTCTGAAATGATAGGGCCAATGCACAGAAGGAGGTGTCCGCCTCAGCTGGCGCTATTGGCAGAGCAGAGGGGACCTCATCCAAGCCCTCGACGGTGATCCCATGGGCCCCTATGTTCATCTGAGCGGATAGATCGATGGTTACCCCCGGTGACACCATGTTTAAGCATGGTCCGACCGCTCTGTCTTACTACTCGCATATGTGGACTCTAGAGGATGTGAGGATTCAGAGGGAGATGTTCAGAAAAGACATATTCTCCTAGTTCCCCATTTCTGCCATGGAGGTATCCTGTCATTTAACTTATATTTATTTCTTATTTTCTTTTTTAACCACTCTAATTCTGTTTGGTTGACCTTGAGCATAATAACTTTTTTGTGTTTGCATACAGACCCTATTTGGGATGGTCACCATGCAGATGCATCTCGAGGTTGCAGACAAGAGGGTGCATAATCTCTCCAATGGGTACAGAGCTGTGACCCTTGACTTGAAGAAAGCTAACGCCCAGCAAGAATAGTTGGAGCTCCAGTTGGCTGCCCTGTAGAAGAAGAGGGATGATCTTCACAATGCTCTGGAGACTGAGCGGACTACTCGGACTGCCTTAGAGAAGAAAGCCTCAGATGACCGCATTACTCTCCTAGGCGTTATGAATAGAGTGGAAGGTGGGGTAAAGGCTTTATATGGCCATTTCTCTTGGGCTGGAGCCCTTCAATATGCCTAAGGGTATAGGGGTGGGTTCATTGACTACTCCCCCCTGAAGGACAGAGGAGGTCTTATGCTGACCCAGATGACTGTGACCGAGATCTTCATATTGACCCACTTGGCGAATACATCAATCCAGCTCCTAATCAGGCCAAACTGGTCTTCAGGGAATGCAAGGAGATAGTGACCTCTAGGGTCATCCCTTCCATTCTCGCTGTTCAGCCTCTGAACTCCTGCTCCCTCTACCACACATCTAGGGAATGAGACTCCACCGGCTCGTGCATCTGATAGTCAGGCTTAGACGCCTGAAGAGGTTGTTTACATTGACCCTCCATCCCGAGGGGATGAGGTGGTGGAGGACACTCGGGAGGATGTAAAATTAGCTCGGAAGGACGAGAGGGTTGAATAGGGACCAGTCATTTCTTGTTTTTGTTCTTTTTGAATCTAACTTTTCCTAGGCTGAAAATACCTTTTACTCTACCCTTTAACAAAAATATATGAATATCTTTTGGATTCCGTTTTGCTTTTCCTTTTACTTGCGAAATTCATAAGTGTTTGGCGTTCGGTTTACAAATATTACTTGCAAATTTTCATCTACTCATTTTCACAAGCGTCTGGCGTTCGGCTTGTAGTGCCACTTGCCACTAATTTGTATGAATTTGTACAAGTGCTTAGCGTTCGGCTTATAGCTCCTCTTGCCATTGACATGGGTAAGTTCTTGGCGCTCGGCTAAAATGCCACTTGCCATTGACTTAATTAAGTTCTTGACGCTCAGCTAAAATGCCACTTGCCATTGACTTAGTTATAACCTTTTCGTTGAATTCCAAAGTGCTAGGCGGTCGACTAATAGTGCCATTTGCCTCTCTCACTCCGAATTTTTCTTTGAATTTTCTAAGTGTTAGGCGATCGGCTAATAGTTCCACTTGCCTCTCTCACTTGGAATTCTTCTTTGAGTTTCCTAAGTGTAAGGCGGTCGGCTAATAGTGTCACTTGCCTCTCTCACTTGGAATTTTTCTTTGAGTTTCCTAAGTGTTAGGCGGTCGGCTAATAGTGCCACTAGTCACTCTCACTTGGAATTTTCTTGAGTTTCCTAAGTGTTAGGCAGTCGGCTAATAGTGCCACTTGCCTCTCTCACTTGGAATTTTTTGTTGAATTTCCTAAGTGTTAGGCGATTGGCTAATAGTTCCACTTGCCTTTCTCACTTGGAATTTTTTTTTGAATTTCCTAAGTGTTAGGCGATCGACTAATAGTGTCACTTGCCTATTTCACTTGGAATTTTTATGTACATGCATTCATCACGGTTGTGCTTTTGGAACTATAAGTATATGCTCCTATTGCTACTGTCACTTTTCTTAGCCAGGTAATTCTTAACCTAGGCTCTGATACCAAACTATCACGCCCCAAAATCTTAAATATATGAACTCTTGTCTCGTATTAAAATTTTGCTTGACTTTCTCTACACAACCACAACTTTACAAAAAAAAAAAAAAAAAATTAAATAAAGAAGTAGATGTAAATCACCCACTAATTTATTAAATCGGTACAACCATAATAATAATCGACCTTGTAAAAAAATAATCCATGACAACTGGACAAAACGAACTAAATCTCAATATATATCGTCATTCTTATAACAATGCGAAATTGAACTAAACCAAAGAATACGAAAAGCTAGCTAAAATCCATCACCATCATGTGATCCCATCACGTTCCTACTCAACGTGTACCTGAAATGTGATAATGGAGTGAGCTCACAAGCTTAGCAAGAAATGCTAAACACAATCATCGTTCAGCAAGCTAACCTTACCTTGTATTCCTATATATATAAGCAACTCAAATAAGTTCATTTTTCAAATGTGCATAACCTAGTTAAATATAAACTCAAATAAATAATCATCATTTATTTTTAATAAATATGCATATCTCACATGAGCCCTTGGCTCCCGTCCAATAAAGTGGTATGAATCGTAGTCCCTGACTACCAAAAACACATGTGTGGTTGGATTGTACGTCTACTCCCCAGATGATCCCTGATCACGTCCACACACTAAGGGCTCATTAGACCCACAACCATAATAAAAGGGTAGTGCACTCCCAAATAGGTAGGTCTCTGACCATACCCAAGAGTCATCATAGGGTCAGTCCCTGACTGCCCTCCGACTAATCCAAAATCATCATTATTAATTATGGTGAATTATGAGAGACATTAT